TATATCGTCGACCCAAAGGCATTAGAGAGAATTCAGATGAGAGAATGTGGTCTGGTTGGCTGATAGTTTTTTTTATTTTTATCAAATAATTGGGAAATATAGCGAGAAACTCAAACATAATCAATAGAAAATTTTAAATAAATACGTAGCTTAACATGAATTTAAGTTATTATTAAGAGAAAATTGATGTTTATCATAAGTCAAAGGAAATCATAGGAAAATTATTCATGGTATGAGTTGAAACTTGAAGCTTGTTGCACATCCCAGTTGGAGATTTAAAGTTTCCTGTGTCTGTCTGAGTCATTCAGCCAGTAGTGTAGTAATCTGATTATTTCCCATGTTTTCTCATTGTAAATAAGAAATCAGGTTCAGTTACTGGTCCATATATGGTGTCATCTTGGTTTCCACAACTACAGTATGTCTTATATATACATTTATTCATCAAAGAGCACAGACAGGATCATTTTTCAACTGTAAAATATCCTGTTAATGGCCCATTTGAATTGGATTTGCGTCCCTGGGGGAGCTGGGTGATTTTAACATTAACCTGCACTTTTCAGTGACTTTAAACCCAGCTGGAGTGAGTATGTGGGTAATGTCAATCCTGTGTGAATGGGGCTTTGGTCATAATTCTACAGTAGCCAAATTTAAGTCTTAAAAGTTTTGTTTTTGTTATGTGCAAAAAAAAGAAAAAAGGGGAAAATTGTTGGGTATTTTATCTAATGTTCAGTAGCAGCCTCTAAAATCCAGTACTGGTTGAGCTACAATGTATGTCAGAGGTTTTCAAAGTGGGAGGCGGGCCTCACCAAGGGGGCTCCAAACAGCTTCAGGGGAGGCTAAGTGAATCGAAGGGAACGAGATTACAATATATTACATTAGTTATCACAAGGAGATCATGTAAATTAGCCTAAATGTGTGTGATTTGGTTAAAGAGATACAGTAGTTTTTCCCACTTTCCGAGAGTCAGAAACTAATAAAAGCCTGAGGACGGACATTTTTTATGTATTTGGTTTTGTCTCAAGTTGTGTCAAATAGCATTATTAGGCTCTTGGCTCAATTGTTGAGTGTCTATGGGATCAAATAACATAATCATGATCCCAGAGGAATTGAGCAAAATGAAGTAAACTAAGGAGGGGTGAGGGAGTGAGAGGAGGCCCACAGTCTCAGACTTTGAAAACCTCCGGTGTATGTATATGGAAAAGCACCCGCATAGTCTAGCATTAGCATCACACTGAAAATAAACACAGTTGGAGGAGAGTATTTTACTGTGTCAAATGGCCAATTAACTGCCATAGTTCTCCAATGTAATTGCTAACATTGGGATTTGCAAATTAAAGGAAATTGCAGAGAGTACAACTTTGAAATTGCTTTCTGTGCAGAACTTTGTTCATAATAACATCCAAAAGACTGAGACAGATTTCAGATGTGTGATAACTGCCCAAACGGGTAAACACGGGTTTTGAAGCAGTGGTGTTTTAGGTCAGTCCGAGGTGAGTCAATTTGCTCCAGCAGTGCAATCAAATGGAATTATGTTCTACCTTGAGAAAATCACCCTCTGTAAATCGTGGTTATTGTTTGCTGAGCAGCATTGACTAAAATGAGCCATGGAAAATAACCAAGAGAGAGAGAACTGTCATTCTTCCCACTTTAGTTGTGAATTTTCACACAACTCCTCCAACCTCCTTTTCTCAACTTCAGAAATAACTCAGCCAGAGCAGCCAGCAGTCCTCACCCTGTGACTCTGATATTCTTTACTGCTTAATCAAACATACAACTGAACCCCACATTAAACATTTACAGTCATATCACTGCAAAATATCTCACAGAATATTTTACCATTGGTCAAGAAAAACAAATCAAAGCACACACTGTCAGCACATTGACGCAAGACCGAGGGGTAGTTGAAGTGAAATCAGTTGCCATGGATACCCATGTTGGGGCTGAAGGGAGTTGAGGGTTAGGGAAAGCTTTTATGCGTCTTACTGACTCTTTGTTTCACAGATGCAGTGGCGGATAGAAGGTGAGGCAGCTGGGCAGAGGCCTGTATGTTCACTGCTGCTGTATCATGTTTACACTTAACATTCTCAGGAATGAAGGATTTCTTTCATTTGATGATATTAATGTGATTCACATGGGCGGGACAGTGCGCAGGACTGATTCCAGATAACAGCATGAATAGGATCTTTAACTTCTGCTACTATGACCGTGTAAATGGCATGAAGGCAGATCTTATTGATGATGACCATAGTGCACATTGATGACCACACATGTAAGGAAAACATTCAGCATGTATGTGCACACGAGTCACATTTACAAGTCTCTGTGCGATAAGATGATACTTTAATGATCCTACAGGGGAAACACAGACTCCACTATGTATCTCAGGTATGTTATGTATGTGTGGTGACAAACAAAGAGGGATATTACTGAATTTTCTGTTATGATTACTCCCTCTCGTGGTGGGAAAGTGACTTACAACTGTCAAAAAACTGGAACAAACTGGAAAAAACAGACTGAGCTGTTACTGCTACTGCATAAATACAAGTGGATTTGTCTTGTGGCAGTCAAACATGGATGAGCAGATTTACCCAAAATAGTTTCAATCAAATGTAGATAGATAGATCAGATATCAGCTGCATTAAGATACAATAAAATATGAAGACAAAAGAGAAAAATACACAGAAATTAGATAAATATAAATAAATAAGTATATGTATGTGGACCAATGTGCAAGGGTGAGAGAGTTTAGGTGGATTATAGGGATGCATAAAACCTCACGTTTGAGCATTCATGAGTCACAGCAACAAAACCATTCCCTCATTCTGCCTTCACAGGTTTATGTCCATGCTTTACCTGTAACGTTGACATGATCAATATCAGAACTATCAGCCAACAGTGAGTCCAATGACAGGTACTCTTACAATACTTACATACAGGACTGAACTCGGTAGGTAACTCAATTTAGAGTTGTTTTTTTAAGACCAATATTTCCGTCTGCTTCCACTAAATTGCTGATGACTTTTGTAAACCATACATCTGTATAACTAACACAGACTCACCATGCTGTGACAAAACAAGATCTAAGTGTATGAACAAGACAAGACAGATACTGAAGAGCTGTTGAATAACCACAGCAAAGAATCCACAAGAGGGCACTGTAACATAAGAACAAGGCACAAGCAGCACGAAGGGTGATGTAAGACCCTGACCAAATCTACCCTTGAGCTTCCTTCTCCACAGTCACACATCCTCTCTTTGATTTGCTCCTTCTCTGCTTTAAGGGGACCTCCATCAGGAAGACGTACAAATCCCCAATGAACATCAACAAAAGCAGATTCAGCCAGATTCGGATGACCAAGCTAAAGCTTGAGGATAACAGGGTTTTTATCGAGGCTCTGGGGATCAGGCAGCTAACCTGGTCTGGTATTCATGATATATCACATCAGCTGATTCATAGGCTATTTTGAGCTGTAGATCACACATGTCCACAGCAGCTCAGTAATTCACTGAATAGAGAAATTCAATATCACAGACACACAAAAGCAACACAAAGATATAAACCAAACCATCCTGCGGGTTTACAGCTGTAGATGTGCAGGCTGAGAACCAGTCATCAAAGTCAGTATGAGTCACTGTTTCTCCCCCGGGAGTTTCTGGGAAAGGTAAAAATTAAACTAAACATTGGCAGCTGTCCTGGGGATAGAAATGTCCAGTGCCACCGGTGTGTTTTTAAGGGTCTTAAGTGTTATCTTAAATCTAAAGAAACATAAACCAGAGAAAACAAAGACAAAGGAAGCAGGATTAAAAACGTCAAGAGGCTCAGGGTCTATGCAGAGCTCAGTGGTGCATATAGTGTGATACACTATGTTTACATGTAGTTAGTGCTCTTATCTGGATTGCTGAACATTCAGGGAGCATGTGGGAGGTTCAGTGGTTTGCTCAGTGAGATACGTGGCTGCTGCTGCACTCATTCACACTGTGACCTTTCTGTTATGAGACAGCCATTCTGATTATTCAGCAACCAATTAATATTCATTCCTTTATCAGGACAATTGCTGCAGAGGAAGTGGAGTTCTGCCTTCAGCCTCATCAAACAGAACCAGCAGTACCAGAAAATGTGAGCGGATTCATAATAAAAAAAAAAAAAAGGTCCCAAATGTATGAAATCTGTCCTGTGAGAAATTTCTCTCTGAATCACAGGTAGATTTTTAAAGCAACTCTATGCAAATGTTGCTACACTGTAGCAATGAGTGGAAATTATGAGATAACGGTAGTGTAGTGTAGAAAAGAGTCATAAAGTCAGCTGATTGATTCAGAGAAGTCAGTTTGCTAACATTAGCCACCATGAGCGTGGTCCTAGTGGTCATACCAGACAAAGACTGTAACGACCAAACCCCTGAGTATTGAACTGAGCAACAGTGTGTTTTATCACTTCGTACAGACATTTCTAAGAGGGTGAACCTGTTATTTCTAATCTCAATTATGACAGAGTCTCACTTTAATGTGAAACAACAGCAGGAGGTGTATAGTATAAGTAAATATAAGTGTATAAGTATAAGTAAAATCTTCAAACAGGAAACTCAGTTTGAGTGCTCAGTATGTTAATGACTACTGTGGAAATATATAGTAGATTATGCTGCAATTCCCAGAAGATCAGGTGCAGTTTCCATGATCAACGAACAGCAGCAAATTAACAAGGCAAATGGGAGCATTCCCACTAAAATGTAGTTAAATATAATCATAAAACAGGAGGATTAGAAATGCAGGCCTGTCTCTTGTGACAGTCTCAAATATAAAGGCCTGGTTCTTCACTTTGAGGTAAATAAAGGCCCTGGGCACTGTTTGTAAATCTAAAGTTTGTTTTTATCCCCATTGCTTTTTTTCCTTCATAATGAGAAATTTCCATCATTAACGAAAGAGAAATATGAGCTACGTGGCCTTTAAGCCATGAGTATATTTTCAAACCACTCTAATTCTGGGAACTGAGACTATGATCTTACCGTGGCTGTAGCTGACCCCTGGGCTGAGGGTTGAAGGGGTGGCAACGTGCTCCCTGTTGGGCGTCTGGAGGCCCGCCTCCTTCTCCCTCTCTTTATCCCGCTCCTTCACCTGGCGCTGGCTCATCCTGCCTGGGGTCAGAAGGACGGTGTCATCACTGCAAACTACAGCAGCTGCAGACAGAGAGAGAGAGAGAGGGAGAGAGATGATGATGATGATGATGATGATGATGAGAGGGAGATCAGACATGTGTCCATCTTACTTAAGATCACAGAACATCTACTGACAGCCCTCTGGTGGAGCATCTGTTGGGTGCAGGCTTCACTTTCATGACACATTTTAATAACTTATATAATATTTTTTTTTTTATAATGTTTTCATCCAAGTCTCATGATTGGAAAAGATATGTTTCATGACTACTGATAACCTCAATATGTGCGTTTGTCCCTTATCCATCCACCTTGTTTACCTGGTGCTAATGAAGCAAGTAGCCATGCTGTTGCTTAGCAATGTGAGCAGTTTGGTTGGCAGAGGACAAAAATAAATGCATGAAATTAAAAACGTTTTATCTTTGTTTAACAAGACACTCCCTGATTTTGTTGTGAGGTTCACTCCATATGAAAAACAGGTCTCATTTGAAAAAATCAACCGTGAGCTGAGAGGAGATTTCTAATTATTTTGGACAAAGGTTAATCAAGTTGAGAAAATTCCAATCCAGAGCATGAAAAGTTTTATTCTGTGGGGTTTTAAGTGTACAGATTTTTTAACTTCAACTTCACAGATCATTTTCAAAAATCTTCCTGTGTATACAAATATCTAAAAATATTATTTAGGTTATTAGGTTACATTTGCATGAGTCCTGAGACTCTTTTCCTGGTCTCCAGCTCCACACAGATCCACACACGCATGCTGCGTTTAAGTGCTGGTGGAAAACTGGGACAGAGTCTATAGGTGGTGAATGTATACGTTCTATCAAAGAGTGACAAGCTACTCTGTCTATTCAGAAAAACATATTTCCTACTTTTAACAGCACATTCCAACAGGCACAATCTGTTTGTAAAATATGAATATTTATTCAGGCTATGTGCATCTGTAAAATTAATTAAGATTAATTAACTAACCAATTTCATTTTTGATTATGATTTTGGCTTCCAGCAATTATGAAAACAAGATAATCAAGATAAAATGATTATTGTGCTGCATTCTGTTTTCCACCATATTTAATCCCCCCTAAGAAAACCATCCCCCCATCCACTTCCTGGTTACGTTTCAGCGTATGTTAGCAACGTATGTAGGAGAAAGTTTGCCGGTTCAGAGTTGGGGCAGCCTTTAATTTACTTGGAATGAGTTACTGTTTGGAGTTTTCAGGATGTTGGTGCAGAACACTATAACATATTTGATCTCATTTATTTTTGTCTAATTCATTTTTATTTATTATTTTTATATACTGAATATATGTTTAGTAGTTTTCAGTAGGTTGTGGAACTACACTAATGTTATAACATAGTTGATATTATTCATTCTGATCAAATTTATTTTCATTCATTTTTATGTTATACATTTAATTGTATATATTTAGATATTACATATCTATTTATTTATTTATTTTCATTCATTTTGTAATTTTTCCATTGAATTGTATTTAAAGTTCAAGAAAGTCCACTGTTAAAACGTTTTTTGAAAAAGTTCAAGAAATGCATGATGTTTCCAAAGTCAATGAGTAATTGTGTTAAATAATCATGATTTGAATATTGATCAAAACAATCATGATTATGATTTTTGCCATAATTGAACAGCTCTATTTGTGAGCACCTAAGATTATGTATCATCTAAAATTATGTATCATGTAATAAACATTCGTGACCATTTTGGGTCTAATTTCTCTCCATAGGTAACTGATCTCTTCTTAACATAGCAAATAAACCAGTTTCTAAACTATCCACTGGGATGCATCCTCAACACACTATGAATGTAGGTTACGCACACTGATACACACAAACACAAACACATACAACAAAGATATTATATCATCCAGATCATAATCCAGCCACGTCAGCACCTGTCTGTCCTATCACACAGCAGCGTGTGTTCAGCAGGTGAGTTGTTGTGGATGTGTAAATGCAGCTGTGCACATGTACAGTATGTGTGCTCTCGGCTGTACGGGTACACTACATATACACGCTGACACACTTTGCCAGCAGACGCCAGACAGGTGACGGTAGCCTAAAGTAGGACAGTGGTTAAGAAAAACACATGCAAACGGGAGCAAATATAGGCACATATAAGGCACATGCTGAGACACTTTTTCGCTGCTAACATGGGCTCAAATTACGGTCAAAAAAGATTTTGATATTCACAAATAATTCCTTTTCTAAATCAACTTTTTAAAACCTGTAAAATAAATCTGCACAAGAACTTTAACATTGTACATGTGTAGAAAAGATTAAAAATATATACATATTAAAAAAAAAGAATAGACTGTGAATTAAAGTAATAAATAAATGTCAAACTAAGTAATAAAAGTAATAGAATCACTTGTACTCTGACTAGACTCTGCTTCGTGATTGGATTGTCTTTGTCCAATCAGATTCAAGCATAAGAACTTCAGCGTCACACACAAATGTGGGAACTTTGAGCGCTGAGTTTTACACAGATGTTCACACTTCTCTTCTCACATTTTTTGTGAAACCTCAACAGTGACATTTACTCACAAATTTTATTCACACATCCTTTTTTCCTCATACAAATATTTTCTACATATGCACAAACCTGAATTTCTCTTGGAGATTTATTTTATCGACTTACAACTACAAACTTTGAAATTCTTTGTGAGCGACACTTTACAAGCTCAAAATATTTCTGACCTTAATTTGAGCCCGTAAGGTCTGGACCTCTAGAACAGCAGCGAGAAACAAGGTGGTAAAACACTGAAGAGAAGGTGGTAAATGTTTTTTAAGGAGGCAGCGGTGCTAGACAGACACAGCCTGTACAAAAGAGAAAGTAAAGTTAATGTCACAAGAATAGACTGCATGCAAATTTTGCTCCGTGACAAACTGCAGTTAATGATTCATTAATGAGGCTGGACCTTTGATGGAGAAATTAAGGTGCTGGCCTAAGAGCAGACAATACCGTGGCAAAATAAATGCATTTAAAATAAACATTTGTTAAAAGATATTGTGTAAAATAGGTGCATTACTATATGAACTTGCCCTACTTGAAACACACACACTCCCTTATGTTCAATCGGCCCCTGGCCCTTCCCCTGACTGTGTGCACTGGCCTTAGCCCTTCCTCTGAAAGGTCACTGGCTTACCGGAGGTGGCATGGTGCTCTCTCAACTCTGCATGGTGCTAGCAGACGGGAAAGGGTGGAGACAGAGAAAGAAAAAGAACAAGAGGAAGGAAAAAAAAATAGTAAGTAGAGACAGAAAGAACAAGAAAGAGTGAAAGGGATTGAAAAAGTGTGTCAGAGATTTTTGATAAAGATTAAAGAGAGAGGGGGAGGGAGGAGGGACGTCCATGGTGTGTTGTTGACCAGATGTTGGCGGTGGTAGGTTTGCGTGCAGCAGGGTTGGCAGCATCAGCAACAGCAGCAGCAGTGGAAGAAGCCACAGCCACACAGGACGACAACAAATGATATATATATAAAAAAAGAGGAGACAAGAGACAGAAAACAAAAGAAAAAAAAACAGACATTAGTTCAAACAAAATGCTAACAGAGGACACAACTTGAAACAAAACTGGCAACAGATTGAGGCAGTGGGACGGGGTGAAGACAGAGGTAATACAAGAGGGATAAATAAACTGACATTAGCACACAGCACACACACATAATGTACTGGTTTACCTGAAGACAGCTAAGAATGAATGCTGTCAAACTTCAACTGACACTACAATTACTGTTACATCCATTCATAACAACTAAAGCTACTAAAGTTGCATAAGGCCATCAGAATAGAGTGTTTAATTTAGACTGAAACCAACAATTATTCTGAAGTGTTTTGCCAAAAAAATGTCAGAGAAGAGTAAAACAGCTCAGAATAATTTCCCAGGTATGTCTTAAAAAGCCTTGTTCTTTCCAACCAGCAGCCCAAAGCCAATATACTGTATATATTCAGTTTAAGTCATTTATGGGAGAGAAAGCATCAAATAATCACATTTGAGAACCTAGAACCAGATAATGTTTGAAAAATGACTGAAACCGTTAACCAATTATTAAGATAGACGTTGATGGACTTTCAGTCAAATGACTGTAATGAATCCAGAAACTGTTTCAGCTCTAGTTTAAACAGAAATAATAAAACAATTAACTTAAAAAGCAACTGCAATTTCATCAATGGCGTTGCAACCAGTGCCATTCCTAGAGCCATGTCGTTAGCGTGGCTAAAAACTATAAAGATTGTTAAATGTGCAAATTAATAATTCAATTTTCCTATTTTGTCTTTAAATGATGAATTAACATTTGATTACTAAGAGAGAACTCAATCAAATCTAAAAAGATTTAAATTATATACTTTTTATCAATAGTTATTTAGTACAGTATTTAGCTTGTATTACTTATTCACTTTGTGTCATCAAGTTCATTATTTTGAGTCCATTATTACAACTGTTATAAGCATTTAAAGTATGCATTTCAATTGTAAGTGTTGGTCTAAGTGGATGTGTCAGTAGTAGATGCCTCAGTCCAATTCACAGAGCAGCAAAAATAGCTGTGATTGGCCAGATGTTGAGTTCAGGACACACACACATGACTCCCTCCACCTGTTCCTGCACAGCAGAAACATTAACAGCCGCACATAAAATAAACAGGCTCTGATTAGGTTTTCTCACTATGACTATCTTCTATTCACATCACATCCACAACAACTCAGGTAAACAAATGATCAACTTTAAACTTCAAAACTATCCTGCTCTCTGACTGTCATAAAGGTTTACACGAAACTGCTCATTTAACAAGGTCCTAATTTACACATGATGCCAATCCGTAGGGAAACCTGACGTCACAGTTCTACCCAGAACAAGCAAGGATCCGCTAATCCCCACTCAGGCCAAACACAACCACGAGCTGCACAGTGCGAAGAAAGACAGAGAAAACAATGCCGGTGATTGGATATTGCTCAGTTAATCAGGAAGGGGAAGTCAAATCGCCTCGTTCTGATTGGTTGGGACCTTTAGAGCCACAGGCTGAGAGGATAGACAACAGTAAGAGCTGCTTACAACAATAAGGCGGACAGATTAGGAAGCAGTCACTGAACGTCAGAGGTCGCTTAACCAGGCTTTGTGGAGAAGAGTGGTTTTCTAATTTAATCTTGGCTCAGTCCATTGTCTCGCAGTGGGAGAGCACAGTTACACTTTGGCCACTCCCACTGAGTTGCAAAACACTGGCCTACAGTCAGGGGAGCATGGAGGTTAGAGGAAGTTGTGGCAGGAAGGCTGTGGGGGGCGATTCCTGCATGGTTTTTCCAAAATACTCCAGAGATTCAATTCAAAAATCCTGTTTACACACCTGTATGATAATCTGCCATCCATGACCACAGTCTAATCCAATCCCCAAATAAACCATCAGTCTCTGGTCTGGTTCAACAACAGGTGAACTGCCGTGTGACCCCGGGGTTTCATGCTCTCTATAAAAGCCCTGATCATTAGTTCTCATCAATTATGCAGATGAGTACGTGGGTTGGGAAAGAGACTGACAGTGACACAAAGTAAAGGGCTATGAATCATCTCACTAAAGTGTCACTATCAAAAAATACAAACTGTGACAGGCAGTTTTATTGGTACAGTGTAATGAGATCAGACAGATGGATCGCTACATGTGGCAGGCCTGTATTAGCATTTGAAAAGATTTCTTCAATACAAATTGACAATCAAGCAACGGAGGCTGGTGCGTAACTCAACTCTAGGGGTGTAGGAGTAGATCTATATGCGTGACAGATCAATCAAAGGGTTAATAATAACTGGCTTAAATTAGACTCATTCAGTACTTGCAGATGTGTCTAGAACAACTGTTTATTTTATGTTCTGCAGAACCTAAAAAGTATTCATAGTGCTGTTTCTTTTGTCTCTGGTTACTGGCAGGAAGGCCTAGCTCCTCCCACAGCAAATCGTTTATCATCAGGTTAATGCACATGTATAGTTTTGTTAATTTCACGTTAACTAATCTAACAAATTGTAAAAAAAAACAACAACAAAAAAAAAAACATAGTAATAATAACTTACACAAAACACACACACAGTAAAAAAAAGACAATAAAAAGATGACATCACATAAGAGCAAGTCAATTAAAAATGAGTTTTAAGAAGTGATGTAAAAGAAGTCACTGACTCTGCCTCCTCTCCTTGGGCAGGTCATTTCAAATTCAAGGGGTCCTGATAGCAAAAGCATGGTCATCCTTAGATTTAAGCCTCGACTCTGGAATGGCCAAAGGGGCCCTGCCCGAGGATCTAATGCTGCGCACTGGCTCGTACGGGGTTAATAATTCTGTAATGTAGCTCGGGGCCTCAGCGTGCTTTAAAAGTGATCAGTTCTCTAAAACAGACGGGAGCCAATGAAGAGAAGCGAGGATTGGGCCGATGTGATGTCGTCTGTTAGGTTACTAGCTATATTAGCATATTAGCATGTTCCAGCATACATTGTTTGATGGTTCAAACTCTTGGCAGACCCTTTTCTTGTAGACACACATGATAGAAACTAGTGTGTCTTTTAATACATATTAAGATAAGTCACAGTGGTTCCCTCTGAAAGTAAAGAAACAAAGTCTGAGCAGCCGAAGCTGTAAGATGAAGAACTGACTCTTCAAAGTGACAGATAGCTGGAAACAAATCTAAAAATAAATGTTTGCTGGTGTGATTTTGTGAACTTAATTTAGCTGTCTTTACACTGTCACAACAACAATTATTCAGGTTTAGTTCAGTCAGCTCACATTTTTAAAGCAGCAGGGGAACACAGTTGAATGAGTTTGCAATGTTTTACAGTGTAGATGTAAATGATCCTGTGTATTTTATTTAAGTTGTCTGAAGGCAGGAAAATACACCTTTGAGACATTCATTCACTTGAATACTTTAGAGGTTGATATAACGCTCAATGGAAAATGCTACATTACCAGGACGTTGCCAAGCAATGCAATTAGACTTCATTGAATCTACACTGTTGCTCATAAAGTTGGAATAAAATATTTTTTACCTCTTTCCATGAAATGATTGTGACAATGTGATTTATTCTTGACAGATAAAGTGTATATCTTCTCAAAATTTTAGTAGTCAGTCTCTTCCAAAGTGATTAGTGATGCATTTAAATAGGAATAAACAGAGGATTGTGTCTGAAAACACAATTATTCCAACTTTATGGGCAACAGTGTAATATACTACAGATGAATTTTATTCACAAACTTAAAGTTAAATTCACCATTAACTTCGCCTCTAATTTAAAAAGGCTTTTTCAGTTAAGCTGTGCTGACTGAAACCCTGTAGGGGACACACCTTGATAACCCCAATCCACACACACACACACACACACACACACACACACACACACACACACACACACACACACACGCACACACACACACACACACACACCAGAACTGATTGCTGGTGGCAAAGCTGACAGCTGACAGTCATGCTTGTTTTTTGTTTTGTACTGTACAATGGGTGCATCAGTATAGCATTACATTACCAAAATGTACAATTCGTACAATGTAACATATATATATGTAAACTTTACACCTCATGTCCATATTAAAAGGAGCAGAACATGTAATCTTAACCCCTTCAACTCTCACCAGCCCAAACCTCCTATACAGCCCGGAATTCCTCATATAAAAGGGAATTTCTGGAGTTTTTTCAGAGAGGAGCTGGACATTGGGTTTTACATTTAGGAAAGAAAGAGAGGAAATAAGTCAACAACAACGGAGGGGTTTAGAAATGGATAACCTTCTATAATGTAGCCATGCTTGTTTTAAAAAAAATTCCGATTCACCCATTACAGCCCGATCAATACTGGATCTTTGAGGCTGATACTTATATTGATATCTGGTTGTTAAAAATTCCAATATTGATGAATCATCCAACAGTCTTTATTTAACATAAACAAACAATGCTGACACATGAGTCCTGAGATATGTGAACACGATACTAATATTGGCTGGTACAGTATATATATCTACATTAACGTTCATTTAGCTCAACTGAAGTAACAACTTTCCATGCAGCCTCTGTCTCTATTTCACTGACAAGAAATGTGAATATTATGACTCCGGTGCTGGAAACGTTGGAAAACTCACAGTTTAGCAGTGAGACAAATCATGTATTCTAAAGCTGTAGACAGTAATGTACGTGGCTGGTGATACAAT